TCCTTTCTATTGATTCCAAGTCTTTAGATAATAACTCTTTCAACTGATTGCCAATCAGAAAAATTTTAAATCTACCTATAACCCGGAAGCCACCACCCTCCACCACAGCTTCAAGTTGTCCCATCTTTCCAGATCAAACCAATGTACATCTTACAAGTATTGATTGATGTATTATGTCTTCCTAAAAAGTATAAAAGCAAGCTGTACCCCTTGTACAAGCTTGTAAAGCAAGCTTATACCCAACTACCTCGGGCACACGTCATCTGCACCTCTTGAGGATATATCAACAGGTGCTTCCTTAACTTGGCAAAATGAACTCTCCAAATTGATTGATAACTGTCTCAGATACTTTTAGATTCACACTTGCTTCAAACCATCATCCAGGGAGCCTTCCTTGACCTTTCAAATTCTCAGTCATTTCTCCCACACCTCAACTCCCATAACAGGTACTGCCAGCTTAATTGCTTTGGTATCTATCATTCATTACTTTATTTTATACACACATGCACACATATATGTACTTTTTCCATCAGATTACAACATCCAAGAGAAAAGAGATTACGTCTGATTTGCTTAGCATATGCTAGGAGCACTGTAGAGGAGAAACACAGAATTGGAAGTCAGAGCTCCTGGGTTTTAGTCCTAGTTCTGCATTTCAACAGAGATCTAATGCTGGACAAATAGCAAGTCACTTAACCTCTCCCAGCCTCAGTTTCCTCCTCAGAAAAAGTTTAGAAATAACAGTACCTCCTAGACTGGGCATGGTGGCTCACTCTTGTAATCCCAGCACTTTGGGAGGCTGAGGCAGGCAGATCACTTGAGGCCAAGAGTTCGAGACCAACCTGGCAAACATGACAAAACCCCCTCTCTACTAAAAGTACAAAAAAATTAGCCAGGTGTTGTGGTGGGCGCCTGTAATCCCAGCTACTCAGGAGGCTGAGGCAGGAGAATCCCTTGAACCTGGGAGGTGGAGGTTGCTTAAGATTGTGCCACTGCACTCCAACCTGGGTGACGGTGTGTGACTCTGTCTCAAAAAAAAAAAAAAAAAAAA